CCCATTTCATTTTGTCCAAACAAGATCTCTGCTTCCACATGATTTCTTCCTTGAGCAAGAGCTCATCCATCTCCCCAAGGATTTTCTTCCTCTCCATATTAGCACTCAAATAATTTCTTTTAAAGAGTACATTTAATCTTTGCCGAGCACTCTCAAATTTTTTTTGGAAGATAGCTAATATGGTCTCGGCTCCAACCAGGGAGAGATTTCATAAGCTTGTCCAAATTGTTAGACACATCTCCCAAATCATTTACATGCATACTTTTATTCCAACAAGATTTAACCTGCTCATCAAGTGCCACCCCTCCCTTCTCCCAGTATGCTTCATATTTTCAAATGCTTAATAAACATACAAGTACGAGGGACACCCAACAATTGTATAAGGAGAGGGCTTTGTTCTGACCTTGAACTGATAATGTGTGAAACCTTGTAATCATGGAAAATAGAAGACCTATTCGTAAAAAAATTGGAAAATAGAAGACCACTGGGGGCACGCCACCGCGCGATCAAGATGCGCCTTCACATTGTTGATACCTTCTTGCTTATTATTATACATCCAGGGAACCCATAAAATCCTAGATCAAATAAATTGCAGTATGAAAGCACCTCATGGAACTTAGCCATAAGTTTGAGCGACCTTTTATGCTGAAAAAAATGCTCATTCCGCCACATTGCTTCGTTAAAATCACCCACCATAAACCACAGACCAGCCCCAAGTGGTTTAATTCGCCTCAAAATATCCCACATTAGCATACCTTTCAGTCGCCTTTGGTTCCCCAAACAAAGGTGCTTCTCCACTTTGTACCGTCTCCATTGCAAATATTTTTATTCTTCCAACACATTTGAAAAAAGTCTATATAGAGATCTTAAGTTGCTTGTGAAGTTTTGCATTGCGGTGCCTTTTGCATAGAAGCCAGACTTAAAGCATCCAAATATGCCTTTTTAACTACTCATTCTTGTATTTTTTTTCGCTTAGGCTATACATTAACACTTTTTTCAGGAGAATTTGAAATGAATATTTTGTTACGGTATTATTTTCATGTAGTATCTCTTTTCGCACTTTTGAATTTTGTAACCTCTTACTTTTATATTGTTATTTTAGCATAGGGAGCATGTACACACAAGTGCACAAAATCCACGCTCAGAAGACAAAAAGTAGGTGGAGCATAGACGGTTGAGGCCATATTAAAGCATCCAAGGTGGAACATGGCAAATATTTACCAAAGATCGTCTAAATATGTTTTTTACTAGAGTTCATTGTCCAACCAAGAGCATCAACTACAACCTAGACATAGGCACACACCAAGTTTTGTCCGTTTCGCTAATGGCTCTCAACCACATCTAGTATACAGCATACCAAGGTACCGTGACGATCGATCCAAGTCTCCAATCTCGCACGAGTGCACACAGCAGGGTCAGCCGCAGCCAGCCGGCATCCCACGTAGGCGTAGGCGCGTCGTACAACCATCCCCTCCAACTCACACACACGCGCAGATCGCATAGCATCCTCGCGAACGCGCACACACACGGAAGATCGTATTCCATTGTTTGTACTGAGCATAATTCACGCATTTTATTATATATTCACTTATGGAAATAGAAGAAGCTATTTTTCCTTGGCGAATCAGCGGATGTTCGTACCTAATACTTTATATTCTTTTGTTGAGTGCATTTGAATGTATGTTCATTGAAACAAGGTAAAAGATGGTAATTGTGCCATGAGTATCTTGCTGGTAACTGTTTGTTCAAACAAGGTAAAAGAGGTCCAAATGAATTTTAGAATTTCCTCCAGTTTCCTTTGCCCCATTGAGAACCGACCTGTGGTTGGATGGTTAGGAGAACAGTGGTATCCCCGGCCAACCAGGGTTCAAGTCCTAGACTTGACATTGGTGTTTGCATTATTCCTGCATTTATTTTAGGCTTCCGGCGATGTTCTTTCAGTAGGAGAAAACGTTCCCGTCGACCCGAGACGCCTATGAAGACTTCGCAAAATGTCAAGATGATATGCTGGCCCGGTCTCTCGAAGGTGCTCGTAGGGGTAGGGTGTGCACGTGTGCGTTCATAGGGGTGAGTGTATGCTTATGTATATGAGCGACTTCGATTGTACTGTGTTTTTATTTTCTTTGCCCCATTCCTTTGAACCAAAGGCATGAATAGCATCGTCGTAAGAAAAATTGTATTATGATTTCCCTCCATTCTCCTCTGAACCAAAGGAGCCTTAAGTAAATCCACTATATCTAAATAGTTAGCCTCTACTATTAGAAATTCTCTAGCTTCACTTTAACCCACATCACCCAAATTAATTTAGCCCTTGAATATACTAGATCAATCAACAATATCCGTCCGATCAACACACTAAGAGCTACTCCAGCTACCATATGTAGTAACCGCCTCATGCATGCAAATGCATGCAGTAACTCCCGCCTATAAATATTTTACTCAAGGAAAAATACCGAAGCATGCATGCAGCACATAGCCTCATGGCCTCATATTGAGTGCTCTGTATGAAAGAAAAGTGAGTCGTGCATGCATATTTTCTTTTGTTTCGGTCTAACTTTGAATTATAGATAGAGATATTTTTTACTTATTTATTTGTAAAATACTAATAAACAAATTATCTTACTACAAGAGAAGCTATAAAGACAATAGCTGAATGGTCAATTCAGCACAATTTTTATTTCATACAAAATCCCGCCGCAACACACATGACATCGTCTAGTAGAAAAAGGTTGCAGTCCACACCGCCGCACCATGAACAGAATCACTACCAAAACTCTTAAGCCATTGCATGGCCCCGCGTGTCGGTGAACGAGGCCACTATGACCAATCCGGCATGGATTTCCATATACGTATGAACGGTGGCGGAGCTAGACCAAAAACTTTTGGGGGCCAAAATGTAAATGACAGATTTGGGGGGCAAAAGACTAATTTTTCCCATATGAAGGAGGGGAGAGGGGGGGCAACGGCCCCCTGGTCACAACATTGCTCCGCTGCTCCGTACCAAGCTTCACGGTGACCGGACGCCAACTAGACTTCCCATGGTCCCACTATCGACTAGATATAGAGGAAGGAGAGTAAGTGTCCGCCTCTTGCCTGACTCGAGTAATAATTAGGGCTAGTTTGGTTGTCGTCCTCACATTCATGCCTGGAGAAAATCAGCGCCTGGGTAGTTCCTGAGAAATCGATGAATCTTGCCTGGTCAGGCTTGCCTGCCGTAGAGACGTTTGGTTGGTGGCCTGAGCCTGGTAAGTAATACGAAGTGGATAAGCCCCATCAGCAGCCCATAACGCCCCAGCCATGACGCCCCAGTCCATTAAAATAAGGGACAATTGCATTTTTACCCCTATTTGGTTCCTACCCACGGGTTTTGCCCTCACTTTTCGAGCTTGCTCAGTTTTGCCCTTACTTTTTTCATCGAGGTCCCTTGAATGCCCTTTGACCGTTTGATCAAAACTTTGAAAATTCATAACTAATTCGTACTCAGAAAAATGCAAATAAGATATCAAAATGTTCAGATAAACATTACCTTTATGGGCATATCATTTGCATTGAGGATAAAAGCATTGTTTAAACTACCTGAAGTAATTAATGTTATTAACATTATTAAACATAAATAGGTATAAACAATATTTTTTCGTGAATAAAAATTATATGCAAATGTAGGTGATGTCTTTTGAACATCCTGATACCTTATTTGCATTTTCCTGAGTTCGTATCAACTTGTTATGAAGTTTTCAAATAATGGTTAAAGTTGTTAGAACATTCATAACAAGTTGATACAAACTCATAAAAAAGCAAATAAGTTATCAGGATGTTTAGAAAACATCACCTACATTTGCATGTAATTTTTATTCATGAAAAAAAATATTGTTTATACCTATTTATTTTTAATAATGTTAATAATATTAATTACCTCGGGTAGTTTAAACAATGCTTTTGTCCTGAATGCAAATGATATGCCCATAAAGGTAATGTTTATCTGAACATTTTGATATCTTATTTGCATTTTTCTGAGTTTGTATTATTTAGTTATGAATTTTTAAAGTTTTGGTCAAATAGTCAAAGGGCATCCGAGGGACCTCAATGAAAAAAGTAAGGGCAAAATTGAGCAAGCTCGAAAAGTAAGGGCAAAACCCGTGGATAGGAACTAACTAGGGATAAAAATACAATTGTCCCTTAAAATAATGCATGTGATGCTCCCAATTAACGCCAGGCAGATTCTTTTGCGCGCCAGGCGTCCGATGTTGTTCGCCTGGGAGGCTAATCACCATGTCTGGGTGTTCCAGGCCAGGCCAACGACTGATTATTCAGGTCACCAACCAAACAACTCCCAGGCAGGTTTCAGGCATGGTTCAGGCCAGGCAAAACATCTCTAGGAAACGATCCAAACATGCCCTTAGTGTCCGCCTCCTGCCTGACTCAGAGTAGTAATTCAAATACGTGTGTGTAGATGCACCTCTATTTAAAAAAGGTTCTCACCCTGCTTTATATGTAAGGCAACGAACAGCACACATCTCAGATACAACACGACACTACAACACACACTCAAGACAAGATATTAAGGTGAAGAGAACGGCTACCCACTCTATAAAAGTACAAGCCAACTACATGTAGAGAGAAAGAGCACCGCCTGAAGCCTTGGGAGCCCTCAACCATGAACAATTGTATCTGCATGCATTATTAGCTCGGCTGATCATGGCCACCACTTTCTGTGTCGCGTGCGTGCAGGCCCATGGGGTTGACATGTACCTCAACGGCCACGACCACTGCCTGCAGCGCATCAGCAGCGTCGACAGCCCGGTGGAGTTCGTGACGAGCGGCGGCGGGTCCAAGGCGTGGGCGGGCAAGTTCAAGGCCACCTCCGACAAGATGGAGTTCCTGTACGACGGTCAGGGCTTCCTGTCCATGTAGCTCACCGCGGCCGAGGCGCGCCTCACCTTTTACGACGTCTCCGGCGCCGTACTGCACAGCTGGGGGCTCGCCAAGTCGGCGCCCGCCAGCATCTCGACCGTGAGCTAGCTGATCGACTTCACATGTCCATGGCCGACGGCGCCGGCCGTTGTTAACCTGTTTAAACGGATCAGATGCAAATGCTTTCTGTTAAGTAGTGTCTTCTGCATGTCGCCCCATGCATGTACCTCCGTAACAAAATGTTGTGCGAAATAAATCAACAAACGTTGTTGTTCAGGCATGTTTCTAAACAACGACTCCCACAAATAGCAAAACACTAGAATGATTTTGGGATTCGGCTTATCCAGTTTCTAAAACTTAAACTACAGGAAATAAATAAATAAAACCGTGCATGAAACATACTCAGCGAAGGCCCAATTAGCCTCTGCTTACTATAAGCCGAGTGTTCTACCCGGCTTACGCCTCTCGGCTTATATTAGACCAGTTATGCCATGTACGTCGAGATCCAGTTCACGGGTACTGAGCTTAAATATAGGGAAATGTTTAGGTAAATGCTTGTGTTCGGCGCACTGGCCGAACTTTCGGCCGGCCGTTCCGCGCAACACGCTAGCTCACCAGGCCACGTCCTCCAACGTGGGCCAATCTTATCGCTTCTCGCACCGTTTTTCCCTCTCTCTTCCTTGTCTCTTCTCCGAAACGATGCCAGCCTTTCGTTCCTTTTGCGTCTTGTTTCTCTGCTTCTCTGCAACTTTCTCCACCATGCCCAACTCTGTATCACCTTCTCCTTCCCATAATGACCATGGCCGCTGCCATCGGAGACACGTGAGTCACGGCCGGCTGTACATCGTTGATTTTGATGGAAGCCCAGCGAGGAGAAGTTGCAACCAGGGGCGGGAGGGATGTTGGAACAGGCTCTGCGGATTGCTACAACCTGGTTGTCGGCGAGCTACAATCGACTCACCATCGAGCTGCCATTGGCACGGGCAGCGGGCTGCAACAGTCTGGGGGCGAAGCTGCAACCAGGGCGAGGGATGCTGGAACCGGCTCCCACGGAAGCTGGGACCGTGGCTGGCGTGCTGGAACTGGGGCATGCTCTGGTGCTCGAATCAGTACTTAACAATACTGGAACTAGCAGCAAGTGGCCGTGCTGGAACGCCATGCACGCGATGCTTAGAAAGCTCCACGACGAAGTGAAAATGCTGGAACCGGCCGATGAAATTGCTGGAACTGGTCGATGAAATTGCTGGAACCGGCAACCACCGGAGCTGCATCGCATACAACTTTTTGCTGGAACCGGGATTTTTGTTGGAAGTTGCAATCGGCGATGAGATTTGCTGGAAGCGTTGCCGGCGAAGCTGGATCCAGTAATTTTTTTTTTTGCTTCAAGCGATGGAAGTGGTGCCGTGACGACGAGGAGGTGGTGCCGCGGGGGGCTGCAACCGATACATGTAAAAGCTACATCCGGCGATTTGTTTTGCTACGTTGGTAATATGGGAGAAGTGGTTACTCTGGATACGACGGCGAGTGATGGTGCACCCGTGCATCGGGCCTTGATGGCGAGGGCTATGGGGAGTAGCTGGCTAGGGCGGGGGATCCGCGATTTGGCGCTGACCGTGCCCTGGAGTCGGGCGCGTACGACGACCTGGGACAGAGACGAGCGCGGAAGGGAGAGATGGTTTTTTTCTCTCGCAATAATACAACGTTGGGTGGCGTAATCCTAGGGTCCGCACGCGTCCGGCCCAAATTTCCGCCGTTGCGCCGGCGCCTAGTAGTGGCCAAATGTTTACTGCCGACGGACCGGCTGAGTTTTCGGCCGGCCAAACGTGCAGCGTTCGATCCACTGTATCATACATCCCTGTTTTCTTTTCCTTTTTTATCTACCTTATCTTCTTCTCCCACTTCCCGTTCCTTATCCATAAGTAGCACTCGTTTTCTTCTTCATCGTTCTTATGTTGCGCTGCTTTGCCGTTGCTCCGTCCTCAATCTCCATGATCCCGGCGCTGCTGCTACAGACCAACCGCCGCCGCTGCTACAGACCAACCACCACTGCCTGCTGCTAGGACGAGCTACCGCGGGCGGAAAAAAATCCATAACCAACACCTCCTTCCTCTAGCTCTCAAGCAACCTACTACATCTCTGGGCCGTGTGTGCCCGGAACGCATGCTGCAACGGCGATGGACGTGTGCAGCGACCAACGGCGAGCGTTGCTCGTGACTGGCGGATGCAATGCTGGAACCGTCGTTGATCCCGTGCTACAATCGCTGACAAAATAGCTTCAACCTCTAGATGGAAAAGCTTCTACTAGCTAAAAATAATGCTTCAACCCGGCACTACTAATCGGGGGAAAGCTACAACCGTTGGTATAGAATGCTTCAACCTAGATGAAAAAAGCTTCAACCAAACTATAGAGAAAGCTTTAACCAGGCGAGCTAATAAAATGAAAAGGTTGCAACCATTGCCAGAAAAGCTTCAGCCGTAGATGATAAAAGCTCCAACCCGCAAGAGAGAAAGCTTCAACCAGAGACGCTGCCCGACCAGAAAAACTGTAACCGTTGACAGAGAAAGCTTCAATCGTACATGGGAAAAGCTTCAACAGACAACTGGCTGGGGACAAAGAAAGCTGCGACCGACGACCGGGGGGTGTGCAAGACGAAGATGTTACATACGTTTTTTTGCTGGAATCGGTGACCGCGGTGACCACGCCCGCCAGATGTTGCAACCACTATCGCTAGATGCTGGAACCGGCATGATTTTTTGCTACTACGGGCGGAGACCGTGGTGACCACACCTGCCAAGTGCCGCAACCGCTCTCGCTGGATGCTGGAACCATGTCGGGTGTTGCTGCAATCACAGTGACCACGACCTACCAGATGTTTGACCATAGACAATGGCGAGGCCGGCGAACCTCAACAGCGAGGTGGCGGGGCGAGCCAGGCAGGAGTAACGCGTGCTGGGGAGGGGGGACGACGAGCGGCTACGCTGGAAACGGGCGAGCTGCAGCCTCGCTAGTCGCTACCCGTGCTGGAAGACGGCGACACGCGGCGCTGTGAGCCGCCGCGAGGGTCTCGCTGGAGATGCGCGGTGCTACGAGCGCCAGCAGCGGCAAGAGCGGAGTCCACCATGGACGGAAGTTGATTAGCTGCGGCAGCCTCGGATCTAGCCATTGACTTCTCCTATGCGTGCGTCGTGTGTATGTTTATTTTTCGTGAGACAAGTAGAGCAGATCTAATGGTTAGGACCACTCCAATTGAACGATGCAGGAACGACCGGCCGAAAGCGGGCGCCGGTGCGCCGGCGCCCAGCACTCGCCTTAAACTAGATCGGGTTCTCGCCTTGGCGCGAGAGTGCCGGTCCTAATGTTTTAACCAAGCAGGTAATGCTTAAGTTAGTAAGAACCCTCATTTAGCATATGTATTAAAACAAGAAAACAAAATAAAAGAAAAAAGAAACATTAACTTGTAATAGAAGCAAGACATCAAAAGATAACCACTTGCCATTAATTTCAGTACTAAGAGCGCAAACATGAGAGGAAATACTAATCTAAAACAAAATTTGCAACGTACCATATATAGGCAAAGCAGATTCCCATTATAAGCTAAATTTATACCAAAAGCAAATTCACTACAAAGGAAACATCTCAAAAAGCAGGTAGTAAACACTTACTAATGGTTCAGTACAAAACATCAAGGTCCGTCACACACCATTGGCAAATTTCATATGAAATGTATATGCCAAATCATACTTGTTGTAACAAATATACAAATATACTCAGAACAACCTCGTCCTCAACATTCGCTTCTTTCTTCAAGTATATTGGAATTCCAAAAAGCGGTCTTGGGGCGCGGTGCCCTGTCCAGCGCAATGGTCCAGCGCTCAGATCCAAACCAAAAAGCAAGTTATAGTTCACCACCATAGAAAGATAGATAGTCCAGATGGTGTTGTACAATTGTTATTCCAAAGACTTGGAAAGAACCAACACTTCCATCCAATTGCGAAAATAAAAATCATGTAATACTCCTTAAGAGCCGGCATATGCATTGAAATTTACCTCGAAATAATATATGCATTCATATTTAACTACACATGTTTTCTCCCAGTTTTCTTCTAACCAGATTGTTTAAGAGACTATACTCAAAATGTTCATTAAGAGAATCTTGTGAATTATCATGAAACACATAAGATTCTATATAAACGAAGACACAGGATTTGTAATCTTATCTTCTAGGTCGAAGAAGCACTTGACAACGGCCCGCTTTTGGAAGCACCGCTACGGGCACCATGGCCCAGATCCGCGAGATGGATGCCGCATTCTCCATCCCCGCCCTCGTCCCGGCTGGTCCTACTGGAGGCTGATGTTGGTTCCTTCATGTGTCCTGGCAGCCAGGGGCGCAGGCTGGTATATCACCATCAAGGCTGCCCCGATTGGCCATCAACAACATGTTTGTGGTGAGCCTCCTCATCGCTGGCCTGCTTCTCTGCCAAGAAGTGGTTGCAGCGGTTGTACCTCCTGCTGATTGCCGAGGAGCGGCGGCTGCCAAGGTCCAACTGCGAGATGATTAATGAATCAGGAAAAGACACACATCAATTGCCCTCCTCATGGCGAGCAATTCATCGGAAAAACCATTTGTACCAGAACATAACCAAAACAAAACAATCGCAAGTAAACATGTCTATACACTTGGTTCTACAGCCAACATATAAGCCCCTCAACTAATCCACAAGGCAGCTATGTAGTTCTACACTACCTTTGATTCTCAGAAGCCTCGTCATTCTGCTCCACCAAAAAAGCCCAACATGGTGAGTCACATTGGGTTTGGTTCATCTTTTTGCTGCTAGGTCAAGCAGGTCGAAGGCGTAAGTCTGCATCCAGAACATAACAGATTTAAGTATGACAACCAATATTGAAATAACAACTTTGAACAGATGAGATCCATTTGAATATGTGAATATGAATAGGCATCTCGTCTTTTCGAGACTAACTTCAGAAAACAGATGGCAATAAAAAGATTTTGAGCAACTGCTAACCAAAGGAAAAACACTCCTTCAAAGTCCAAAAATCACAATTACCTTCCACAACAATAAAAAAAAGCACGTGCACATACAATTTC